AAGTTCCAGTTGCAAATTAGTCTTGTGCGATTTGAGTTCCCAAACGCGCGACAGTGAGCATGCCAGTGAAGCCTTTGTATTTTTGTTATCATGATATATATATAATAAATTACAGGTGCCTGGGTAACTGCCAGTTACAGGCATTGGGTAGCCAGTTCCCACACTACCCGTAAATGCACATCTCTAACTTGGGCATTACTTTCCTTCAGTGCACGTATAAAATGAACTGGAAAACTGAGAAGGAATTTGGCTAAGTATACTAAGCTACTGGCTACTGACCACAGACCACTTTCCCATTGACACAGTGAGAAAATCCTGGGTTTTGTGGAAGTCTAGTCTGGCATTTTGGACCAAATGTGCCATAATGAAGACTCTGAAATGTTAGTTCAAACAACATTTACAATTCCTCAGCCTGTTTTCAGGCTGAATACATGTAAATGATCATGGTCTGAACAGGCATTGCTGATCGTCGAGTTATTGTGGCTCTCTTTTGATGGTATGTCTGGTTCAAATTTGAAAGGTAAAGTGGCTGTGATGTCGTTTGTATCATTTTCGATACCATCTACAACAGCAACTTAGATGCCCCTGGATACGTCGGGTATTGCGTAGAGGTGAGATTTGACTTCTTGTGGTTGATTATGACGCCCAGGTGATTCGGTAGAGAGCAATCATCAGAATCCTAAGTCTCATTTAATTATGTCACAAAACTGAAGAACACCCTTGACTTCACTCATGTCGGGATCTCTGTGATGTCTTTGTTTCTGCTTTGGATACATACATGTATATCGATACTGCATGCCATTAGTTGTTCCGCGCCCTCTTGTGTCCTCTTATTACGAGGAGTTCTGTTCAGAAATCCCAACTTGATGAATCTGCCTACAGTTTGAAAACAGCGAATGGGCTCATCTATATGTACCTAAAGTGGTAGCAGCCAATCACCAGACCTCCCAACCTCTTTGATTACAAAACTGTATTCTGAAAATTCAAAAGTCATATTTCTCTTTCTCATTAAAAATTTGTATTTTTCAAAGAATATATTCTTCCACATGATCGTTTTGACCACTTGTCTGGATTGAGTCTAATGTTAGTCTGAGTAACTCAGACTAGACTAACACTTCTTCACACATAAAATAATCACACAAGAAATCCATTATCAAAGTTGAAGAGTGAAATAGCCCATGCCCACCTGATTTGATCACAGTTTAAAAAATTGAAATCTTGAAAAGCACATTGTATGTCCAGGCTTTTGGAAATTCCCGCATAAAAAACAATGCATGTGGAACACATAAAAGCCATGTAAAAATGTACGACACAACTTCTTTGCCCGGCATCAGTTGCCAAAAAGTCCTCTACCTATCGGCGAAAGCAGAAAATTTACTAACCTCATTTCAAGCCGCATATTTACATGTATGGTGGCCATGAAATGTATGCTACATAAAATACTGGAGATTGTCACTACTTCCACTGATGCTCAAGCGGCTTTAAAGAGTCCCACTAATGCATACATGAATATTGATATTTCATGGGCAGCCAATCACAACATAATGATCAGGTGGTTGCCCGATGCTGTTTACACACGAAGTTTGTACACGTGCGTGCATACCCTGTACATACGTCCATTTACATTGTACATGTGCGCGTGCAAATGTGTGTACATGTACATGCACAATGGTCGAACTACGATTTTTTTCAGGCGTGTCAATATCCTCTAAACCTGTATTTTATGAAGGAGAAAACATACAATAGTACTTTCAAGAATTTCCCATAGGAAATAGGCTAAATCGTACTAGTTGGCAGGTCAGAATCACATTGCCGAACTTGTTTTTACATCAGCCAACCTGCATTATAATGAACGAGTCTACAAGTCTGACTACTTTGATTGGTGGCAATTCCCTTTACTTTATGCAAGATCATGTCATTCATATGCAAATATGAATAACTACATATCACCAATGGGGTTCCGATTGGCTTATCCGTCATGTCAGACTGACTGACTGGTGATGTATGACACACACTGTACAATAAAGGCTATCAAAAGAGGGTGCCATGTGAGGGTTATGCGAACTCACAGGCCGAGCGTGACGACCATGTAGTGCGTACTGACTGAAAGGATGGCTGACTAGGGAAGAGCAACATGAGTCCGACAAGATTCACGTCTAAAGAACACCCAAATAAATCTGACTACTAGTCCTTACATTAACCACTTTCTGCCAGGGAGCCTGGTTTCGGGCATATAGGCTTTATACACGAAACCGCACAAAAGAGCTTGGCCTTATAACAAAAGACCGTACTAAGAACAAAAGACTGAGCTGCTGGGAATTGCTATCATTTTTTCATTTGTCAATAGAGGAGAAAATCCGTCATTGTTTTGAAAGATTAACCACTGTTTGTGGCATTCAGTGCAAGTGGATTATCAAAAGTGCTCCAATGATAAGAGATACAATACTGCTGCTCATTAATCTGGCCCCGATTGAAAAAAACGTGCCAGTTTCAGGAACAAAAGAAACTTCTGTAACACCGCACAATCTGGGCTCTTTTTACCAGGCGGCAGGCCTGGCTGAAATACTCGTACTCAGGCATCAATAGATGTTGTCTGTTAGATTAGAGTAGCCACAAGACAGTCATTCATGTGGGTGTAAACATCCAGTAAATGAAGTTATGATATTTTTTTAGAATTTTGAAAAACAGAAAATCTTGAAAATCTCCCGGTTTTACATCATGCAACTTCAAATTACACCCAGCAGCAAGTGGTTAAGTTAGAAGAGAGAATTCCTGAAAAATGCTAATAGAGGTGTACATGAATGAATTCAAGTGCTCAAATTTAACACTTCACTGTGCCTGCATGATAAACATTGGTCTACTCTAGCATTTGAGAGATACATGTATTTCATAACGAGAATGATGTACTAACAAACACAAATGCCCCCTACGTCAATGCTTTAACCCTGAACTTTAATTACCATTGTTTAAGCCATGCTGACCTTAATCCTGGACTTTTAGGCCCCAATGCAATAGGCTTCTTACTACGACTACAAAGAGCAATCTACAAACAAAATTTGAATTCCACTTGTTAAGTACATCTCAAGTTAACTGCTCTGCATTTTGCCACAAATAAGTGACCCAGAAATGCTGCTGTGGTTTTTCAGAGAGGGAAAAACACTATGTGGACCAGTGCAAGTTCAAGCAACAACGAGGTCCACACTTTGTTTGCCACGTTTGCTCGCACGCACCCATGGAAGAAAATGGTGGAAAAAGTATACCCTTTTACTTTGTCAGTGTGGCACAAAAAGCACTGCTGAGCACTGGACTACCGGTACATCTTTATATCATACCCTTATTTAACATGTTTATGGAACTGTTTTCTTTTCTGGAATCATGACTCCTACACGTACATGTATACTGTGCCATCCACTGTCAAAAACTGCAAGAAAGAAATGTAAAATATCCATGACTGAAGGCACTGTATTTAATGTAAATTCAAAGGTGGCACATTTGCGCGCATAGGCCACTATAACATCTTTACTGGGCATCAACTTATCATACTTGCACTCGTTGAACACAGAAAATTTAGTACATCTGTGTCCCGTATACCACTCATCCTTCGGCCATGTGGTATATGGGGCACAGACACACACCACCTAATAGTATATGGGACACAGACACACACCACCTAATAGTATATGGGGCACAGACACACACCACCTAATAGTATACGGGGCACAGACACACACCACCTAATAGTACATGTATATGGGGCACAGACACACACCACCT